AGTGTGAGAAATAGGCGTGGCAGCGAAAAAATTCCAATGTACATAGTGGCGTGATAAACGAGATATTCTTTTGTTGCGGTTAAGCTAAGCAGTTAAGCTTTTTTAGAAAGCCCTGAATGGATTCCGCAAGTGTGCATCGATTGCCGCGCATTATGGTATGAAGGATGTGTTTGACAATCTCATCATCCATCTATGCAAGTTCAGCACGTTAGCATCAAATTCTGAAGGTAGGAATTGTGATTTTCAAATTGAAAGCACCAACAATTTTATCTTTGTCGAGTTTTATGAAGTGTTTTTAGGACATGGAGACGACAACTTAGAATGCAGCGGCAGAGAAACCTGAACGAGGTGACACCTGGTGTTCAGCACGAGCGAATCGCGGTAGCGTTCGGAGAGAACGCAAGGCCCAAATGGCGACCAAAACGATGTTTGAATTGGTGCATGCAAGTGGAGATATTTTGAGAGAGGTTCGTGATGAATTAAAAACCATTCTATTGGAATTTCAGACGTCTGTTTCTATTCTCAGGGTTGGCGCAATCTTCTTGACTGCTTGCTGCAACTATTCCGTGCTATAGTATGACGCGCGAGTTTGACCGAAGTAGACGATTTCGTGGACGAGAAGGGCTGGGTATCATTGATACGTGAACACGTTGTGTAAGTTTGTGCTAGAAAATTTGTGTGTATTTCTTCCAAGCGTAGCGGGAGAAGCATGCTATAAGTTTGAACAACAAACAATTAGTAGCGCATGAGTGACGTATGGACTTCCATTTTGCCGGCTCTACTCACAAGGCGTGCGCCATACGGTTCAAAACCTTGTAGAAGTCCGCGTACTCGGTGCAGATTCCGCCTGTAAGGGAGGTTTGAGCTCTCTTCTTTTGCCAGCCTATATTCATTTTCATCATTAGTCAACATCAAATGCTTAATCCTTCTTCTCTGCTCCTTCTTAACTGCAATCGGTACTTTCGCATTGGGCACCGTCCTAAGTTATTGCACCCTCCGCTCGCTATGGGTGAGGCTCCCCATTGTTCATGCGTGCTTTGAACATTCCGCCCATAAATTGTTTGAGAGAGCCATCTCAAACTTGACTTGGCCTCGGACGTTAGCTCATCATACATAGTGAAATTTATTAACTACTCACCTTTACTATCGTTCAGAATTGATACCAGTTATACCCTAAGGTTATGGAGTTCCGATTGAGTTTTTTTCTGTAGTATGCAGTTTTTAGGGACCCTCAGCCGGTCCGTAGTGAATCTGGACTTCTTTCGTGGTTTGGTCTAGGAGGAGGAGCCAGCGAAGCTGAACGCAAAAAGTTAACACAGGAGCAGCAAAACGCCATCAAGGTTAGTTTTTGATGTAGCTTTCTATGTTATACGCCCGTCCTCAACTGATGATGTTGTCGAGTGAATTTCATTCATGAAAAGGTTTCCTTCCTTAGAGTTCTACGAAATAAGAAGCAGTCGCTGGATTTGAACTAAGTCGAGCTTTTCAGATTGCCAAAATTGGAATTCCTTGATAAGAAAGTTTTGTTTTTTCCAGCTTGCGCAGTCGGTTATTGCTGAATGTCGACCTTCTCAACTGTTCACAGATAGTAAATACTTGACGAGTACAGCGCTGTCGGAACTTTTGAACGCCTTGATCCATGCAAGTCAAACAGTCGTGCAACAGGCGGACTCCCACAAGCCGGTTGGTGTTCTAGTTTTGCAGTGTCTTGTTTTTCCCCTTCTGTCTACTTTTCTGACTGAACACTTTTCTGCCGTTTGCTTTAATGGTTTTCTCTCGAGCAAATTCGAATCAGGATTAGCCGTTGATCTGGGGCACCATTTTTTATTTGTGTGCTATAAGAAGTGTTCCTGTGGTTTTAGGGATCTCCACTCAATGGAGAGAATGAGGATGCACTAGTGTTTCTATTTGGAGCTCATAATTACAATTTGTCTGGAGAATAAGGTACGTGAGGAAGTGTTTGCTGGGTCTGTGAGGAGTTTCGCTAGAAGAGCCTCTAAACCTCAACTTAGGATCGTCTTTCGTTAGTGTGGCCAATGGTTCGTCGACATTTGGAGTGGTTATTGTCGGCCCGTTTTGGAAGGAGTCCGGTAAGTACAAAAAGTTATTCTTGGTGAACGTTATCGCAGCACCCATTTTGCAGCTTCTCGTGGAACGGGCTGTTGTTGGCCTTCTACGTATTGCCAACAGGAATCTGTTCCGAGACAATACGGTAGCAGATGATGTGCTTCAATCTCTCTCATTGCTTTTGGTACGAATTTTATGTCCATTCTTTCCCAAGGGTCTCAGCTTAAATAAATTATTTTAGCGCCTTTCACCAAAAGCTATGTATGTGTTTTCACGTCAAATTTCGTATGGACTTCACGAATTATTACGAACAAATGCAGCCAACGTACATAGACGAGAGCACTGGGCTGTACTGTTTGCACATTACTTACGCAGCAGCTGGTGCCGCTTTCCCTTCAAGATGAATGCCACATTGTGAGTTGTGGGAATATCTGTTGTGGAAGAAGAGTGAAATTTATCTCTTTCTATCGACGCCTTCGACGTCGAAATACGTTTGCTTCGCTTGCAGCCGCAAGGGGCCCGCGTCGGATGAGGATGCAAGATTTTCGCGAATGGGAAACCATAATCACTCGTCCACAGACGGATGATCGCGGCTACACTTCCGACGACCCAAAAAGAGGTACGTGTAGTACTTCGCTGGAAATGGCCATAGCTAAATCGCGATCATTTAGTAACCGTTCGTTTATCAGTTTGTCGAGGCTTTTTATCGTCACTTTTTTTGGTTAAAATGAGTTATAATTCAAGTACAGAGCGAATCTCATTTCCTCTTGGTTTGATCTCTAAATTGGAAAAAAAATTGCTCCCTATATGGCCCACTAGAATTCAGTATCCTGAAACGTAGTATTCTTTTGTTCAACAAATTTTCCAGCCGACACATCCAGGTGCGTGACCGCCTGCCTCGATTGCAGATAGCGCCGGGGCTGAACCAAATAGTCGCGATGGATTCATGTTTTGGAACCACGGCGATGCCCGGTCGTGCTAACAGAGGTATGCTTTGAGGTCTGCTTGGGTGGAAATGCTGCGCGAGTCTGTGGTTTCTCCCGTGGATCGCTGGTACTGCGAACTAATCTAGGCAGGCACGAACCAGCATCTTTCCTGAAGGTATGTGTAATTTGCGAAAGTGTGGTTTTGTCTCCTTCATAAACTCTAGGCATTCAAAGGGAAGCAAAGTTTGAGAATTTCTGCTGAAGCATCCACAATGAACGGTAATACCTCGCCCTGAAGTTGTGTATCTAGCATGAGTCAACACTCCTTTATCCATGTTCAACAGGATGCAGGTTGGGGGGTCATGTTTGGGATTTGGGGAGAGAACCCCTCAAAGCTGATGGTAATGGTGTTTCAGCCTTTTTAAAGAGGCGGAGGGGGGGTGGGTTAGAGCATGATTTTTTTTCTCGAAATCGGCGCAACGGACAGTTAACCTTAATATGGGTTCCATTGGGTCAGTCGGGTCCATGGTGGTGATTTCTCGAAGAATTTGACGAATCCTTTGACGACAAGCACTTCTTCTGCGTTTGCTTGAATTAGTAGTAGCCTTTTAGCAGTGTCTCGTAGTGTTCTGAGTCTGTCCGAGATTGATTTATCCGTTCTGGAACTTCTTGACATTCAAGGTGTGTGATACTCTGTCGTTCTTGCTACGAGATGCCATCCATGTGACACCGGACAACTTTGAATCCTGTGTGGCATGTTTACGGACAATGGTCGAGGCGAGTCTGGATGGTGGAAGGTAGTTTCACATTCTCAATTGATACTCATTCATTTCAAAAGCATAGTTTCCAATATTTATGGGTATTCTGCTTTGTGCCGATCACCTTTTTTGTTTCGCTTGATTCAGTTCAAGTTAAAATATGTGACTTAAGGTATGCCGCTGGTCCACTCAGTGGTGATGCACAAAATCGACTTCGGAGCCACGTTGACGACCGCATGAAAAGACCGAAAGCGGCAAAACCTGGAAAAGTAAGGCCGATTTATATTTTTCGATATTTTGATGTTTCGTTCTGGATTACGAGTAAAATCTGTCCCATCCAAATGTGTTACTGCAGTCAGTGTTCCATTTTTAAGTCCGGATCGACCTCGATTGCTAACGCAATCTATAGTAAAATATCGGATTAAACTGTAGGATAGCTAATATTGTTGGTGGAAATGAATGAGATAAAGTTGGAAAGGATGGAGGACTATTTCAGAAAGACCTGTCAACAGATGTGACAGGTGACGATAGTGAGATCCGCCGAGAGGAACAACAACTTACCGCTAGCTATCAACAGGTAACAAAATTACTGCTAAATTACCACCTACCTGCCAAAAGCTACATTATATTATTCTCAGGTTTCACTGCAATTGCTTGACCTTTGCTCAACACTTCATAGCCTAGCACCGGGTATTTTGGCTCACTGGGCGAAATCTCAACCAGAAGTAAGTTATTTTCGTATTTTTCCAGTACAAAAATGCCATTAAAGACAGAACAAACAAGTTATTTAAGGTGGACGCATCTATACCGCACATATGGTGCACGGTTTGGCGACCACTCTTGCAAGCAATAGCCAGGCTGGGATGCGACTGTCGACGACTGGTTAGAGCGGCAGCCTTGACGCATTTGCAGGTACATATTCAATAACTGATTCATATGTCTGATGGGAACTTACATAGATACTGTGAAACGAATCGTAGGAAGAGCAATGAGTAGCGAACTCAGCGTATGGAAGCAGAATCAACCTTCGTGGTTTTGAACATCGTATTTGGCCTGAAGGGGCGGTGGAAATCCCTCGGTACTCCTAGCGGAATTCCATGTCCTGAAGGGAATATGTGCATTGTTTAACTATGACCCATTGTAAAGTTCAAATACTCTCTGTCTGAAAAGTGTCGGTGTTTCTCTGAAAGAAAGTTCTTGGATGTCTCGATCCTTTTTTCTGTGCCTCTCGTATTCGGCTCTCCCAACGTATATTCGACTTCTCTATATTCTTTATTTTTCAAAGCGAGCAATTTCCTGCTCAACTGAATAATGCCTAATCTATGAGCTGCCGAGTGGCGAGTTCGTGTTTTCGGCGAGGTTAGTGTTCCATTCCTTTTGTATTTATGTGTTTTCGACTTATATATCCTAATTTGCAATAATTTTTCGACTAACGTTATGCTTCTCTTATGTCAGTTGTTCTGTTTCCCCATACCTGGGCAAATCTATTGAGCGTATCTCAGCTATTGGACTCCTATTTGGTATGGATAACACAACGAGTACGTTGCGATGCAGATTGTAGGCTTACAGACCTTCTGAACCAATATTGTCGTGAAGTATAATTTTCATTCTTTAAGTTGAAAGCATTTACTTTCAATTATTTTGCAAATCCTCGGAAGGCGCCGTCCAAATTTTTTGGAATACATAATCTTAAGGTCTTCGCGCTAGGGCTAAACTGTTGACTTGGGTGTGTTTTTTTCAACATTTCCCAACTGGATCCTTTATAGCTTATCAAAATTAAATCATTTGCTGCTTATATGAAGCTTCCATTTCAGAGCTCTTTTAGCTACCAATCATTTCCCGCAAGTTGTCATGGTTGCGTATTACTGACTTTATGGAAAGTTACCTCCGAATAGACAGCTGTGGGAATCTGAATGAGGTATGTCTTTGAGAGTGTAGAGGATGAGATCTCTGATTAAAATCGAATGGTTCCCTAGGCCGTACCAGAATCACTGAAGAACATGCTGTTAGTGATGGCAAGCACTGGGCTATTTGTGTCTTGTACCCGGACTGCACCAGATGACTGTTAGCAGAATGGGTAACGTATTACCGCAACTCATTCCGTTGACACTCTTGTCCAGAGGACTTCCACGCTCACGTGGGCACATTGTAAGGTGAACTACCTACATGTTTTGGTATGTTTTTTTGGTTTCTAGATGATTCATTTGTTTTAATTCTGCTATCGTTTGGATTCCTCCATTTATATGTCCTGAGCTCGAATACCTCTGGGAGTCCTGTGATTCTTCGCTCGCATGGTCATTTCCTTTATCTCCTTGCTCCAGCTGCTATCTGCAGTCCTCGCTCTCAACTCTCCCGCAGAAATCTTGTCCGGAAGTAATGTACAACTCAAATAGGTGGAAAATCACCACGGAAATGTGTTGACATTCGTCTTATAAATTTTAGGATTTTCCTAGAAAAATTAATGTTATCTGTTAATTTAATCTTATTTTCAGATTTTCTTTCCGATGATGCACTGATCCAACAGCCAATTTGAATCTTTTCTTTCTCTTCGAAATCACGAAAGTCGCTATCACGTTGAAGGATTCTCAATGGTATGTGGCTCGCCTTGATTATTGCTGTTAGTTTGTCCGGTCGGTTTATGTCTTTTCTTTCGATGTTTTGATTGTCTCTTTGTGCGAAAGCAACTGTTTTTGTCTCCATGTATGAAATATGAAGGGCAGATAAGTATTGGTCTATAAATTACTTGTTATCTTAGCCTTTCAAACCGGAGCCCTGACAGTGCTTGCGTCGTGGCGTCCGGCTAATCCGAATAGTGTAGTGTATCGGGATTTCAAATTAGCGCCTCTTTACGTCCCCGTGAGGTTAACGCTTCCTTCATGACTTCATTTTCCCCAAAATAGTCTGGCTGTTGTTCCATTAAAGCCATGCGCGATTTGGCAGTGAATCGTTCACGGTTTGCCAAACAAACAACGCCCGCTTCACAGCGCATGGTCAGCACCAACACATCAGTCGCGCGATCGGTGCGCGGCCTATCGATTCCGTTCCGCTCGCGGTACACGCTCATCTGAGCCGATCGTAATCCCCCTGCACTGTCCTGTTCTGCTGTGCATAAGTTCCTGCTCACGCATCCTTGAATGATACCTGAATTGTGTTGATTATACGGCAGTTTAAGAGGCTGCGTGCTCTCTTAGAACGTTGCGTGCGTATCTCTTCAAGTTTCTTTTGAGTCTGTCGGCGTGCCTGCACGGTGTTGTGAAAACACATTTAGCACTTGCTTTCAGGTTTTTGTGAAAATTTGAGTGGGACCTATTATAATACGACCTCATGCAAAAAACATCGGAAGTCAAAAACTAACCTCTAAAACGGTGATAATGCCGCGGCTGGTGCTTTACGGTGCAAGCGTCTATGCTTTTTGGTGCCCGAAGTCACCGCAATCGAATCGTACGGTCAGCCCGACCTCAATCCTTCCTCACGTCAGTTATTCAGAAATACAGCGCACGTGGAGGAATGGAATACTGCTCCTACATCGCTAGCTCCATGCCTAACAGCGCACAGACCACTAAGCTGGTGTCAGAGTCCGCGATCCGCCCAGTTTTCGCGATTTTCGCGATTTGCGCGATTTTTCGCGATTTGCGCGACGGGTCACGGAAATCACAAGTGCCCCATCCATACTGCAAGGTGTTCTCCAATCCCGCCGTCACTTCTGCTTGATGGTTATGGTTTTTAATGGAGACTGCTCATGATTCCACTTGTTTCATATCCAGTGTTTCAATTGTTCAAATGGGGCACTTGCAATTTTTGTGATTGGTTTGGTTTGATTCCTGAAAAAAAAAAAGGAACGATTCAAGAGCATTTCAATGAACTAATAGACATTGAACATGAAACAAGTAGAACCACAAACATTCGTCTTCCAATCTTTACTGCCAAGCAGAATTCGCAGCAGGATTAAACAACACCTCGCAGTATTCATCGGGCACTTCCAACTCCTGTGATCCATCGCAGGTTTCGCGAAAATCGCGAAAATCGCGAAAATCGCGCAAAGGATCGCGGACTCTGACATCAGCCTAAGGGCGCTGAATGCATGCCATGAGCAGTAGAAGATGTGGCGTGATAGAAAAGGGATAATCAAACGCCTAGTGCATATTTTATGCATTTATCGCTTCGCACCATGCATAAGAGTTTGTTTCAGACGGAGGTAATAGTGCACTCAGGCGCCGTTTCACCAGCATCTGCGTCGTCTCCTTATAACCGGATCGTTACCACTCAGTACTGCTTCACAGTACAGCATGGTTTCAACCGCTGCCGACGCAGACCTGGCTTCTGATTCGCCTGCCCAGGTTTGTTCTCCTGTTCTTATGACTCTGTTTTTCTATACGTGGAAGGCGTTTGTTCAGTAAATCACGATCGAGAAATTTTTATCCAGAGATACACAGTACAGTTTAAGAGCTTTTCAATTGGGTCAAGGAAGAACCATTCTTCCTCTCTCTGGCATTATTTAATTTGTTGAGAAAAAAAGAATCCTGTTTCCGTGTTCTGCTGGATTTCACGAAACCTTAAAGAAATCAGGCGCTGGTGTAATAAGGGAAGGAGGAGGTAGCACCGTTGTGCGGTCTGAGTCTAGGAAGAGGGGAGGAATTTTGGGGAAAATGGAAATTCGTTACACCCGCTTCCCCAGTCTCTCCTAAGGCTTAATCCTAGGTGGCTAGGGGTGAGGGGGTACTGTATGGGTGTACATGGGTTTAGTGCCATAATGATAGCCGCTCTTGAAGTAGAACGCCCAATCAGTTTGCAACTACAGCACTCTCAAACATTCTGAACATCCTTTTTCGTATTCGATAAGAGCTTATGGATCGATGACTCATGAAGCCCGAGTTTAGGCTCCATCGTCATCGCATGCTCCAGTCCAACCTCCAGCTCGTTCGCAGCATCAGCACTATCAAGAAGTTTCGTCATCTCCACCTGTCTCACAATCGCAGTACTACGCACAACAGCAACTACAACAGCAGCAGTAACCAATATCCCAACTATGCAGTGAACTATCATCCAGCAGCAGCTGCTGCCTATGCCCAACACCAGCAATATCTTCAACAACAACATCAACAGTATATGCCGCAAGCGGATTTGTCAAAGGCATTTGCTACACCAGGTGAGATAAAGCAAAGATGACTGAGTTTGGGCATTGAATCCCCCAGTTGGTAAGTTGAGCGTGTTCTCCATACACCTCTAACTTCGATCAAATTGCTGACTACCAGAAGAACGATGGCTTCATGGTTAAGTCCCTTGACTTTCCTATGGGGTCGTAAAACAGCTGAGGTTTTGTCAAATAGTTTCTCAATTAAGTGTAATGTTTTTTAGTTCCTCCTCAATATTCAACGTCAGCTTCGGTCCAATCCACCCCAGTAGTTTAATTTCGAAAACCATTTCTTTTTTTTCCATTTCTATTTTTGTCATGACGTTTTTGTCCTTTTCGCTTTCATTTCCTTTTCTTTCCTCTTTTTTTGCCATGGGGAACTCAGGTGCGTTTGGAGCTACAGGTATCTTAATACCTTTCCTCAATATGTATTCTATTTTGATTTTTTTTCTTTAACTGATTAGATTCGACTGATGTTCCTTTTCAAACTTCCTAACCTGTTTGAGTAAAGAAATCCATATTCACTCCCTATGGATTAATGCGTAGGTTTTCACTGCAAAATCTCTAAAGAATGGTTGACCGTCATTTAAGATGTTCCCACCAACCCTGTTTCAAAGTTAAACATTCTAACCATTCATTCTGAGGTATAATAATGACTTCAATTCCAGTACTCGGTTGCAAATCCACTACCCCATACCTTCGATGCCACTCATAGCTTCACCGCACAGCGCATTCAGCCAAGTTTCAGATCTGGTAAACAATTTTTCTACATTTAATATTTCATTTTATTCTATTTACAAGAATTCAGCTTTCAGTCATGGGTGAAGTATTACCTCCCACCCCCCGCCCAGGCGGAATTGAACTTACACTTCTAGCTTTGTTCATTATTTTTATTTTTTGAATTTATTTCTGTATTCTCCATAACAGACATAGACAGCCTCTCCTTGTATGTCGTAGAACCGCCCTTGACTAAGATCAGGCATAATCCTGGCAAGAGGTGGATTCGCTGGATCCGCCATCCTGCAAATCAATCGAGCACAAAAAAACACCACTTTCGTTATCACCCCGAGTATTGTTTCCGACGTTTTTTGTCTTCCGTAAGCAAGAAGAACGCAAAAAGGAAAAGGGATGGAATAAATACCCAAGGCTGAATATTGTCAAAAAATAAGATTGGGGGTATGAGAACGTGACCCAAATTGCTGGCAAACTCGCAGTCGGTAGCCAGGAGTGCGGCGCCCAGCGACGTTTCTATGGTGCGAAGGGTCCGCTCCCGCTATGACCTGCTTATTCCTTCCTAGCTGAAATCCGAAGTGCTTTAAATTCTTTCAAGGCCGCGCACAAAACTATGTTCCTACTCATCACCACGCTTCCTTTCACTCAACGGCTCATCCGCCTCAGGAACGGCCATAGATTAGTTATCAGTATCGATCGATAATTAACAAATCGATTTACCGGATTAAATTTTTAAGAACATCGATTCCAGCTTCGAAAGGAGCTAGTCCAAGAGGTTTTTTTTTCTCTGCATAACAGCCGTTTTCTGTTTCACTCCGTCCGGCAAAGTTCCCAGTTGTCAGTGATGATGATGACAATCCATTGTGCTTTGTTATTTGAGTTGTGAATGCGATGACAATTTTAGAGTTTTATTGTTAACACTGTGATAGCTGGTTGATAGAGATGAGATAATAGTTAAATTTTATTGTAATGGGAATGTGCATCGTTGAATGTGATATGTACGTATAATCTGTAAGGGATGTGGTTCCAGTCGTAATAAATGTGGATAACACGCCCTAGAGTGTTTTCGTTATCATGAGATTTTAAGTCCAATTTTCTACTTTCTTCTTCTTTCTGAGGAAGTCGGCTAAACACATAATTGTGAAGGTATTTGAATCGTTCACAAGGAATGTTGAGTTCATTAACAACACGATCTGCGGCGTGAAAACAGCAGTTAACAAACAGGAGCCCAAAAACTGCATGCGAAACTCTTCTGCTGGGCGGAAACATATGAATACTTAAACAACGTGGGTACCAAAAATCGTGTTGGTTACCCAAGTGGTGTAATTTTACGTAATTTTTTCGTTAAAGGGCACACATGTGCCGCATGCTTCATGTATCGTACACACCACTTTGGCTCGAGAACGGAATTACTGTATTCATTACATAGTACGTTTTCCTCGATACTTAGTTCAAAGTACAACTTGAACTCTGTAGGAATGAATGGTAATGTATCGATTCTTCCGATTCTATGTGGTTTTATGATGTGGAAAAAACAAGGAGTTGTTAAAATTTGATCAATCGCCTTGCGAATCGCGCGATTACCGTTGAGTGCCAAGTCTGACAGCTACCTTATACTTTTTCCTGGGTATAAAGAGTGAGCTACGGTGCAGG